AATTAAAGTAAAATATAAATATATTATCTGTTATAAATATGTCTAAAACAATCTTACTTTGACCATCAATAACAATCCTTAAAGTGCCCAATAATTTAAACACAACTGGATATGATGGAATATCCAGCATGGAATATAAAACATTGATCAGTCCATCTTTCAATATTACAGGTTTATTATCTGCAGGAATAACAAGATTCCTTAAAGCACTGAGTAAAGCATGTTGAAAAATTATGTCACCAGCATCAGTATTATTCTCCTGAAGCAATTTTAAAAGGTCACAATGAACGCCTTTTGTAACCATAAGTTTGCAATGGGCATCAGTACGTGCAAAATTGCCCATTGCTAATACTGCTGTGACTTGCAAGTCTCTGTCTTCACTATCAAGCCATTCAACCAGCTTTTTATATACAACACCATTACTGTCATCATACAAAGTATTCATACTGTCATCTAAAAGGTAGTATTACTTACATATTTTCTAACATATAAATATTTTTTTATAAATTATATAATGATTTTGATTCAACACTAAATGAGAAATATAATTTTAATGTTTACTAATTTATCCTAGTAATCCTGACCAAGCTGAAATGAAGCTTCTTGGAGGGATTAGGGTCAAAAAGGGGAAGGTGAAAGAGAACTCGTGACGTCTTCGCTAATAATCAGCCAATTACAATGAATAGCCTTCGAATAACATTATCATACTTACTCTTTTTACGAGGTAGCATGATCAAGGATAGACTGCAACTGAACCTTGTGGGAGCAGTCGGTAACAGATGAGCGCAGGAAGCTATTTTTATTATTCAAGAATAACAAAAAAATATATAGTTTTCACTTTTCTAAATCTGAAAAAATATTAATAAATTTTCTGAGGTTTACTGTCAGTGTTTGCGATTTCATATGTATGCAAGTCATTTGGAAATTAATGTCCTAGGTTCTATTAAATGATTAACGGCCAGACAACCTTTTCAGTTTCCTATTCTTTTGTCAGCGCGCAACGTTACCAATTGCTGATTGAAAACCATTTGTTTATTTACACCAGAAGTTCCCCTTAAACGAAGACAGTATAGGACCATAGAGTAATTAGGATGGCATATCCACTTTCTTACAGTTTATTTTCTTGGGTATACGCGTTGGAAGCTTCACTTTCGCGTGGTCAAGCATAAATAATTATTATTGTTTTAATTTAGATAAAATATTAAGAGAAGTTTTACTTATAAGTTATATATAAAGATATTATTAAAACAAATAAGATGATATTACCAATTGATGTCTTTGTTTTGTTAACATACCTCCAGTTAAGACAAGAACAATTAGATTGCAAGCAATTTTTAACACAGACCTAGTTTCTTCATCTGTACAATATGGACTGTGTTTTTCTAAAAGTTTTAACAACAATTCACAAACACCTGCCCTAGCAAGCAATGATTTTGCTTTTTCTGAAAATTAAATGTGTATTCATAATTAATCAAATATTCGTAAATTATTATTACGTGCTTAGAATAATATTATGTTTTATGTATCAAATAGATACCATCTTCTGCTTGACCATGAAGAACTTCTAAACACATTTCAAAAAGTTCCAGTGATGTATCAGTTGTTAAAATATTTACTAAAATTTTTGTAAGCCTCTCATCCAAAAATACTGCAGAATCATCATCAAGTATTCTCAATATTGAAAGAGCATGCATTGCAGCCTCTCCACCTGCAGTTCCATCAGTTTCTAAAATGGTACAGATGATAGGCACCATCTCATGTTCCAATGCCTATGAAAGTTTTCCTACAGATTAACATATTTTTTACCACATATATAATAGTATGTCATTTAAAGAATGTATACTATTTACAAACAACTTGTTCATGTGCATTCATTTTTGTTATAATTTATTATACTGTCATTGATCCAGATAAAATATACATATGCTACATTACAACATATTAACAGTATACAATTAAAATTTTTAAATAACATACTAGCATAGTTATAATAATTATAATAAGAAAACATAACAACTAAAGAAAATGTAACATGTGAAACATACCATACCTTTGAATAGAGAGATGGTCGATCAATAAGGAAGTTTAGTAAAAGTCCTGCAGCAACATTACGAAGGAATGGTGCACCTTCTACATCCTTTAATGCAACACTTTTCTCCAATACACCCAAAATTGACATTAACCCATTTTTATCTTCGACAAATTTCTTACCATTCTCTATAAAAATATAAATTTATCAATTATCATATCATTTGCAAATTTTTTCAAATTTAATTTTAAAAATTAAATCATTCCTGTTAGTCTTTAAACACTGTACCAAAAAATCTTAAATATTATACTTTAATAGTACTTTTAATATTAGAAGCAATTAGTTAAAATTAGGTATTAATTAGATGAAAATTAATGAATAAAGTCATTTGTGTCACTAGTTTTAATGATGGCATATTATAGTAATAGTAGTTTTAATGTTAGCTACATACATGAATAAAATTTGGGTCGTTAGGAATTAAAACTTCCTACCATTCTCATAACAAATATTTCCCAAAGCTCTGGATGTCTGTGTCAATACATCAACACGATCTTCCTTTAAAAGATCTATTAATGTAGTAACCAAGTCTATATTGGTGCATTTTTCCCTTCCTTTTTCACTTTTTGCAATCTCAGCAATTGCTTTAGCAGTCTTTGCTACAATCTCTTTAGATTCATGGTGCAACAAAGTTAAGAAGACATCATCTACTGTGAAGTCAGTAGCTTCTAAAAAGAAAGTTCATATTTATTTA